TATATATATATATATATATATATATATATATATATATATATATATATATATATATATATATATAAATTTTTTTTTAAAGATTTTACGCTTCTCTCTAAAAACAGCCGAGCTCCTGGAGGCGTGCTGTGGGTGGAGCTAAAGAGTCAAACACTTAAGAGCCCTTACCCACAGATTGGCAACAAAACAGAAATTTGATGCAGTTTTACTTACCGCCTGCGGTTCCAGCTCGTGACAGGGATCTTTTAGTACTGGGACCACTCCATCTTTCAATATCAAATGATGTGCAAATCCAGCGTCGAACTGGGCCTTGTTTATAAAACATTTGTCACTGAAATGACGGGAACAAACAAACACACTTGCGAAACTGTTGCTGTCCCGGAAAAACAAACTGCATCCACTGTTCACAAAATGCTGGGTTATCTTTCCCTCACATCCAAAAACGCTCTTCTTTGGAGACATTCTTCTCATGCAAGTCCTGTGCAGCGCTGCCGACGACTTCTGTGACCCGAATGAAGCACGTTGATGGGCTGCTCTTGTTCGCGCTCTATTTGCTATGTGCGCGCACTCTTCCGGGAGAAGTGCCCATACAAGGAATTCCACTCTTTGTCACGTCATGCAGGGCCATACTCGAGAAAAACTTTCTGAAACTTATACGAAGCCTGAAGGAGTGTATTTGGCACAGAAGTACTCCATCATTCATCCAACTCATTTTTTTGAAGCTTTAGCCAAGTTTAGCATGAGAATTGAGGAAAACATTCCAGGATTTTTCTCCATATAATAGACTTCAATGGTGGCCAACGGGCTCCAAATTGCAGTTTCAATGCAGCTTCAAAGGGCTCTAGCCCTTTATTTTTTACAAACAAATGTGCATAGAAAGTCAAATGTCTTTTACAAAAAAAGGTAAAACAACGATGTCGGATGATTTTGAAGTTGGAGGAGAAAATGAGATTACGTTTTTCACCCTACTCTACCTTTTTGAACCGGAGTACATAGACGAAGAACTAACCGCACGCGACCTTTCCAACATGATTACTTAATGTGTGAAGTTGCGGATACACAATGGGGGAGCTAGTGCAAGACGTGCATTTGTGGTTAAAAAGTATATACATTTTTACTTTTTAATTGTTTATTATTATAAAATTGTTTGTTTCACTACATAAGACCTATATTCCTCACCTGGGATCGTTTAGAGCCCTTTGAAGCTGCATTGAAACTGCAATTTAGAGCTTCAGCCCGTTGGCCACCATTGAAGTCCATTGTATGGAGAAAAATCCTGGAATGTTTTCCTCAAAGACTTTCATTTCTTTGCGACTGAAGAAAGAAAGACATGAACATCTTGGATGACATGGGGGTGAGTAAACTATCAGGAAATGTTTATTCTTGAAGTGAACTAATCCTTGAAGGTTGATGACAGAATTTTCAGAATTTTGACAGAACTATCCCTTTAATGTGCTCATAAAACCACCAAGATCTATTGCTTTAAAGATCATCCTTGACCAACTATATATTTTTCCTCACACTCCATGAAGTCCACTTTAGTGGCCTATGAAGGATATTTGATCATTTTTTGAGACACATTTGATATGAGGATAGTTAATCGAGGGAGGGTATCCACAATCAGTTCAGCAGATCCAACGGCAATAACACATTTAAGAACTTTGGGGAGTACAACTGATGCATAGTTGCTGTATAACTGGAAGAAAACGTTGTAAAGGAAGAGAAAGTTATTAAAGACATTTGTCTTTTGCAAAACTGAATGATTGAGATTCTATTTAAAGGTTTGCTACACAGCATAAAATGATCTTAACAGCTTTACCATGTGCGTGTAGCAGTGGCAGCCAGTCAACGTCACTGACCCAGATTCTGCAGTCTTTCAGTACCAGATTAGTAGCAGGGCTAATTTCACAGCAGGTTATCACAGCTCAGCCTGATTCTAGCTCACTTTCTGCTGCTGTTCCTGAATGAAGGCTTGAATGAGGAAGGTGTTGGAAAACTGAATGAGTTTTGAGTCCTGTGTGAGGTGTCCAGTGTCCTGCGGTCTTACTGTAGTTTGTGATGCACTGAGAGGTGGGCTCTCTTCATATATTCCTCTGCAGTGTGGTCGACGCTGAAACAAATTCACAGAGGGAAAGAGGCTAAGAGAACATTTTTATATTGCATTTATCTCTGTTTTAATGGATGGTTTCTATTTCTGTGCTTCATTTTCTTCTATCCTTCGCTCTTTCTTTCTTGTTTAAGTTCTGGCACACTGGGACACTGATTGGTTTCACCACAGTAACAAACAGTACATAGTATTGTTATATATGTGCTGGCTTTAGAGTGGAACTTGGCATCCATATTGATATTAAATTACTGCCTCAGGCATGTTCAGACATATTTTATTGTTTGTCTTTTTGCGTTATCTGGTTTGTGCTCGTTTTTCTCCTCTAAACAGATATACCTGTATATTCTCTATGTTAGCAGTGTGTTTAAGTATATGCTTGATTCTCTCTTTTTCATTCAGCTTTTGGACATAAACTGGACAGGCCTCACAAATATATTGGACATTCCAGGGCTTAAGTAAGTGAAATTTTTATTCCTACAATGGATTATATCTTTACTTACTAAGACAGCAGTCTTTGTTTCATTTAACTTATTTTAACTTATTTTCATGCTAAGCAATTTTATATAACCTGTGATTTGAACTATGGAACTCTTTACCTATTGAGACAAAGCAAGCAAAATCCCTTAGCATTTTTTAATCTCATCTTAAAACTCATTTATTTAGGGTAGCTTTTACTTGAATTTTTGTATTCATTTTATATTAATTTATTTGTAAATGTTTTGAATGCATTTCTCATCTTCTTGCTTATTTTATAATTTTTTTCGTATGGTGTATTTTGTTGTTTTATTTGTTCATGTAATGCGCTTTGTGATGTAACATTTAATTAAAAAATATAGAAAATAAAGATTATTATTTTTATTATTATTATTATTTTCATGTTGATTAGGCTTCTGGTTCTGTTTTGATTTAAGGGCCTCTTGGTTTTTGTCCATAGATTTATAAAACGTAGAGTCTAGACCTCTTCTATTGTTTTTGTCTTCATTTAGTTGTACTTGGATGTGGGCCTGTTTATTGTAGAAAATTGAAAGAGCCTTTGTTCATCAGTTTTAGTGGATAATCAATGTAAGACATCCTTCTTTCTCTCTAACGTATGTTGATTTTAATTAACTGTAAGCTTGTACGCATATTATAATGGGACTGTCTCACTTTGGAGTAGTAATGAATTTACCCTTTTGGCCACTTCATCTTAACAATTTGTATTACCAGTCTGACACTCCTAACTGAATTTGTTTTATACATAAAAGTTTATGCTTAAATGCTTGAAATTACTTTTGTAGACATTTAAGTTGTGCCTTCATTTGGGTTTCTTTATAAACCTGAAGAGAATATATATATATATATATATATATATATATTTCATTGGTATGGTACACTTGATATAAGATAGCTGATTGATAGCTGACCTTACTTTAATTACCTTAAAGGGGTCATATGATGTTGCTAAAAAGAACCTTATTTTGTGTATTTGCTGTAATGAAATGTGTTTATGCGTTTAAGGTTCAAAAATCACATTATTTTTCACATACTGTACATTATTGTTTCTCCTCTATGC